CTTAGTAAAAATTTAGCAAAACTAAAGGTTTTACCATTTTGCCAAATCCAAAATGAGTTTAGACAAGCAACCTTAGTAGTAAATAATAAAATGAAAACTCTGAATATAATTGACTTTATATAACCAAATTTTGTTAGTAAATGTATATATTTATCATGATTTCAATTATATAATTTTATATTAAAATTGCTTAAGATATTTTATATATTTATAAAGCTTGTTTATGTTTTCTTTTGTTTAAGATTACTGCAAAAGTTGCAGTTATCCCAGAAGATTTTTTTTTAATTTATTACAACTTAACATATATAACATTATTATTTAGATTAGGATAACTTGTATAAAATAGTTCAATACCTTTTCTAATTTATTGGTATCATCAATTTAGTCTTTATAATATCACAATACTTCACAATTTTGTTTATTAAATTAAATTATTTTTATTAAATATTCAATCTAATAATAGTAGTATTTATAAAATTATATAAAATATACTCTAACATTACAATTGAAGTTAATATCATAAAATCTATAAGAGGTTTTGCTATTAATTTTGAGTCATGAGACAAAGTATAGTCAGAAAAGTTAACAAAATTTCGTGAAATGCTATTATTGTATACTTTATTTTATGAAAAATTTTATTAGTGACCTTCTATAATTATAATGAGTAATACATGTATGATAATTTTTTTTGGTAAATAAACTAAAGCAGAATTGGTAAGGTGTATTTAATTTTTAAAGATTCTGGTTTGATATTCGTTAAGGAGTTGGGTAAATTTGGCAAACTCGTTATTTGAGTATTATGACACTTGAGAGTTTTTAAGGAGTTGGGTAAAGTTGGTAAGCTGGTTATTTGAGTTTTATGGCAAATAAGATATTTTAAGGAGTTGGGTAAAGTTGGAAGGCTGGTTATTTGTGTATTATAACAATTAAGATATTTTAAGAAGTTAGGTAAAGTTGGTAGGCTGGTTATTTGAGTTTCATAGCAATAGAGTTCTGTTAAGGAGTTTGGTAAAATTGGTAGGCTGGTTATTTGAGTTTTATAGCAATAGAGTTTCGTTAAGGAGTCAGGTAAAGTTGGTAGGCTGGTTAATTTAGTATGATGGCAATAGAGTATTTTTAAGGAGCTGGGTAAAGTTAGTAGGCTGGTTATTTTAGTACTACTACAATAGAGTTCCGTTAAAGTGTTGGGTAAAGTTGGTAGGCTAATTAATTGAGTATCTCTACAATATAGTTCCGATAAGAAGACCGGTAATGTTGGTAGGATAGTTATTTGAGTATCAGAGCAATATAGTATTTCCAAGGAGTTGGGTAAAGTTGGTAGGCTGGTTATTAGAATATTACTACAGTCAAGTATTTGTAATTTTCTAAATCTTTGTATTCCTCCTAAGGTGTATAATATATCCTTATTAAGTTCTGTAATCGCTAAGCTATCAATATTATCATCGTAAATTATGACATTTGTTTCAGTATTCGATTCTAATTCTTCTATTACATTCAACTGATTCAATTTAAAATTTTGAGATAATTCCTCATTTGTTTCATTATTCGATTCTAATATATTTAATTGATTTAAATTAAAATTGCAAATCAATTGAGATGAATAATAAGGTTGTTCCTCATTCATTTGTGCATTTTCTAATATATTTATTTTTGTAATAATTGCATTTAATGCATCAACTACTTTGTTCGCAGCTGGACGATTTTTTGGCTCATCATCCCAGCACTCTAAAACCATTTAGATAATTTAATGATCGAAAACATATATTTAAAATTATATCAAAATAATATATTTACCTGTATAAATGTTTACATAAAATTCAGGAGTACCAGGAATGATACTTTCTCTGAATCCTTGTAAAATGTCTATAGCTAAAGTAATGTCATATTCTACACCTTCAACATAAAAAGGAGGTCTACCACTTGATATCTCCCATAACAGCACACCAACACTATAAACATCACTTTTTTCATTTAACGTATATGATTGCAATGCATTGTCATTTTTTCTCTGCCTGTCAAACCTTTTTGGATCAACATAAGGAAGTACTCCAAATACTTCTGAATGTTTTTTAGTTGCTTCTTCAATTCTTTTAGATAATCCAAAATCTGCTAGTTTAATAGCATGTTGATGAATTAATATATTATTGGAATGCTATGTATATAAAAAAATTAATTATTAATTATTAATGTAATCAAATTTACAGTATATTATGTAAGATTATCTACCAAATCACGATGGACAATTCCTTCTTCGTGCAAATATGAAACAGCGCTAGTTAACTGGTATGCAAATTTGTGTTTATCATCCCAAGTAAGTTTATTTTCCTTCAAATAGTTTTTAAGTGTACCGTTATCGGCATATTCCATCACCAACCAATACTTTTTTAATTGATCGTTTTGTTTTTCTAATTTTAAAAATAAATAAATTAGTTAAAATTAAAAATAAAAATATCAATATCAATATAAATATTTAATAAGCTTTATCATTTACTTTGTTTTGAAGTTATCCCATAAAAGCGAATGATATTACTATGATCATTCACTTCACGATGGAGTTCGAGCTAAATTATTTCGAATATAAATTTTAATTTGATATATAA